GTTATATGAGATACAGGTTATTTTATATGTTACTAAAAAGACAGAGTGCTAATGATCTGGAAAATAACCTAGGGGAGAAGATTGGCTGCTTCACCTGAGCCCTAGGAGAATCTCCTCCAGCAAGGGGACCTTGAAGTTCTGGCTTGAAGGTCCAAAAAGGAGCAGACTTTTATGCCAGACTGGAAGAGTGTCCCAGCAAGAAAGAGAGGTCTGTGAAGAGGCCAGGAAACCAAAAAGAACTTGACTTTTCAAGTTGTAAGGAAAGGAATGAGAGGAAGAGTTGATGGGATATTAGGAACTGTATCATGTCTGGTCTTGGACGCCCCAGTAAGGTGCTTTGCACAATAGTTGAAGTACAATGGGAAATCTACTGAAGGGTTTCCAAATGGAAACAGAAAGGTAGTCTAATTTAAACCAGAGGATGGTACTGGTTTTGCGTGAAAAATGGAATAGAGCAGATTCTGAGTGAAAACATGGGGAAGATGAAGGAAGCTGTTACAAATCAAGTCTAGTAACACACTCCCAGCACACTGGGCAGCAGAGGCAGGAGAATCACAATTTCAAACCCAATCTGTGCAACATGGTGACCTAGCCAGACCCTGTCTCAAAAGAATAAAAAAGGCAAGTGATGTAGCTCAGTACAAAGGCCTTGGGTTCAATGTCCAGTTCTGGAAAAAACAAACAAACAAGCAAACAACTATTGTAAACATCCAGGGAGGGATGATGATGGTGGAATTAAAATAACAGGAATTAGATAGAGGTGACTAGAGAAGACAAGGGATATATTAAGAATAAATCTGAAATATCTGTCCCAAGTAAGTGGGTGGGTTGCACTCAAGTTATGGGGATGGGGAAGACTGGGATTACTAAAGCAAGTGCAAGCAAAAGGGCAGGGATTGGGGTAGAATCAGGTATGTGTTTCCTAATTCTTTTTCTTTCTTTCACCTACTACATCTGTATGCCCCTCTGTGATGATAACTTTAATCAAGTCTTTTTTAAAAAAAAATTAGACCAGAGACAAATGCTTTGTGTACAACAATTCATTGATTCTTCACTATCATCCCAAGAGGCTGTCCCTGCTTCTCATTGGAGGAAACCTAATCCTACAGAGCTGAAGCCATATTATTTATCTACCTGGCTCTGGTCTATCTGTTGGAGTCTCAACACAGGCAACCTACCTTCAAAGCTGAAGTTCTTCTTCATCCTGAATTTAAACCTTTTGCAATGTTACTTCTTTTCTTTTGTTATTGGAGTGAAACTCAAAACCTTGTGCTTGCCAGGCAGGCACTTAAACCATGCAGTGTTATTATAAAACTGTTTTATGACACATTTAAATAGTCATCCAAAAAGAAGCTTATTTCCTTCATGTTGTCATATGGTAGCTTCAGTTCATCTTCTTTGCCATCTGTCATATGTCTAGTTTAGCACCAGTACACCAGAGTATGCAAATATTTTGTATAAACAGAAACCTCCTAGCTTATTTCAAATAGGCCAAAGCCAAGTCTAAAATAGAAAGCACTGTGAATTTTGAAATCCATGCTTGATGTTGTTCTAAAGGATTTCTGTATGTAGCTTCCATTAATCTAAAAGTCTATCTGATGTGGTGGCACTCAGAAGGCTGAGGCAGTGGGACAGTGAGTTTGAGGGCAGCACAGGTGCACAGTGAGTCACGGCCAGCTTCACCTACGTAGCCAGACCCATCTCAAGACAAAACAAAACAAAATGGCAGCTGTCCAGAGACACTGACTTTGACAGTGAGCACACCGTTCTGAAGAATGATCCCACGGCATCCAGGAAACCAAATATTTGGATTTGGTGAGTGGCTGATGTTTACTACCTCTTGTTTTTTTTTTTAACCAGGGATCAAACCAGGACCTTGTGCTTGTCAGGCACTTAAACCTCTGAGCTAGCTCCCTGGCATGACTGCCTCTTTTTATTGCAGTCTAAATCCTGCACTTGGCCCTGGCCACCTAGGAAAAGTTATAAAGAGGGTGACTGGTATACATCAGTGCAGGCAATGAAAACTAGCTTTTAGTAGAACTACTCTGGACATCTTGGGCCACACAGGCTTCCAGTAGCAGTGTGACCTGGGCAGAAGGTGGGTCAGAAGGTTTCGGGTGATAGTTCATGTACTGAGGGATTCACCTCTGGCCCGAGCCTCACACCAAACTGCAGAGCAGGAAGCAGGTCATAGCCAGAGGTAGTGCCTCCACCATTCCCTTTGGGACACTCAAGGATTCAAGCTGAATTTTAACAAAACCAGAGAAATGAGCTGCACAATCACAGCTGAGGGGCTCCTCCCTGGGCAAAATGCTACCTTCTAGTCTTACCCTAATTGCGTCCTTACTCTATGATTTTAATATATCAAACAGGGTTTCATACAGAGAACCCTTCCCGTCCTCTTAGCCTCAGATTTCCTCCTGAATCAAGTACTATTTTTTATTCTTTTTCAATCACTTTATATTAATTTTTATTGTCATTTCAATTTTTTTTTATTAAAGACAAATAATCACTGTGAGAATTTGGCACATAATACCAAAATAAAAATAAATCACTTATATCCATATTGGCCACTTATAACCATGGTTGAAATATACTTCATTTAAATTATAAATGTACTTGCAGCATCAGATTAATTTGGTATTTACTATTTTACTTTACTCTCATTTTAAAATAATGTGGCACTATGAAAATCTTGTGGAGTTATTACCTATTATCAAAACAAAAGCACTTAAAAATATTTACAGTGTCCTAGGGTATAGCAATAGCACAATAATTCCCCTAATGTTTGACATTTAATTTTATGCAAGGAAAGATTAAACTACTGTAACAGGTACTCCAAAAATATATTATGACAAGAATCCAATGGTTAGTTGTCTCCAAAGAGTTGAAGGCAAATGAGAATTTGGAAGTCACTCTTGCTTTTTTGTTAATGTTGTTACTATTTGCAAACAACCTCAAGAATGTTTTCAAAGGAAAAAAAGAATGTTTTCAAAGTTCTAATGATTGTTTTATTCATGAATAATTTGAAACTAAGTTGCTCATACAATGTCTCATTATTCTCGAATACCGTAATGTGCATTTCCTATAAGCAACAATATTCTGCTATATATGTGCCATGACCTAATTCAGGAGATTAATATTGATTCATTACTACCACCCAATCTTTCAGCCTCATTCCAGTGTCTCCAAATGTCCCAATAATGTCTTTTATATAAAAAAAATCTAATGTTTAACTACATTACATATAGTTGTCATAGAGACTGGGCGTGGTGGCACGCGCCTGTAATCCCAGCCCTTCGCAGGCTGTAAACAGGCAGAGCACTATGAGTCTGATCTAGTAGTGAGACCCCAAACACCCTGTAGACCCTTCCCTAAAATACAAAACAAAAACAAAAACAAAACAAACAAACAAAACCCCATAGAGTTGTCATGTTACTTTAGTCAACAAAAATCATGAAGAGTTCATTAGTAATCTCTTGATTTTCACAATCTAGGCACTTCTGAAGATTTCATGACAATTATTTTGAGTTTGTTGGATATTGCATAATGACTAGATTTACATTATAAATCTTTTTTCATGAATATCACAAAAGGGATGCTCTATTCTTTGTATTACATCCTATTGGGTCAGACAAATAGACACTAAAGTATTGTGACTTCAGGAGTGGGGCTCACTTTAAACACTTGATTAAGGTAGTATTTCTCAGGATTCTTTACTGTAAAGTCATTCTTTCCCATTCTCATTGGCAAGTATAATATTTTTAGAAGTAGTTTGAAGCTGTGTTATCTCTCTTTGCCTCAAAATGTCAATTTGTTCATTACTGGTTTAGCCATCACGAAGAAGACATTGGTGGTTTTTTTTTATTTTTTATTTATTTTTTTACAACATTTATTTTATTTTAAAGAAAAAAATATAAAAACAATGGTACAAAATCTCAAAACAAGATTTTAGGAGAGTAACAATGGTTAGTACATTGTATATTGTCACTGCCAAAGTAGTTTCTCATATTACAAGATATAGGCAAGAAATAATAAATAAACAACATAGGTACAAACTTCTTTTTTTTTAAAAGTCAACAGAAAATGGAAATATACTTTTTAAAGTTTCTAATACTAGGAGAAGACATCATACAATGTCTTTTAAATAATTTGTAAGTCAAAGATACAGTATAAATCTTAGAACAAAAATTAAGATTAAGCAATATTCAGAAAATTAAATGTTTCAAAACAATTGAACTAAGAAAAAGTTTTCATGATAGCAAAGAAGTACTAAGAGTAAAACATAAGATAAATACTGGAAGAGCAAGTAAATGACCAGCACTTCTAACAGTTTGAGGATAGGATACCGCACAAAGTTCTAGTGTGCTGTGGACATGCATAATGACTGTGACAGTTACTGGTGGCTAGGCGTCACTTGTGGAACTGAGCTACAGCTATTTCTTTGAAATCCACCCTGTAGACTCAGGTGGGATCATGACATTGGTGTGTTTTGAAGGGCTGCTCTCTGTCTCCCAGGAGCACAAGAGTTTCTGCCCCCAGGGCGGCGGTGGAACACGGCTGCCCCCTCTTCCTGCCTGGGCCACATTTTGATATGCTAATGGAGACAGGATTCACAAATTCCCAGGTTAGATTACCTATCTGACGAGTGAGGCAGGCCAAATTGCCAGTTATACCGCTGTTGTTTTTGAATAATTTTCTCTGTTTTGGGCTTGTTTTCCTGCCAGAAATTTAAATAAGACTTTGTGATGCTATCTTTGAGGCCCTCGGAAGCTAAAGCCTCCCTTGGCAAGGCTGGCCAAATAAAAAGTTTCTCTGTCTTTCTGGAGTGCACTGCTGGTTTGTAAAGAACCACCTAAAAAAAGCCTGGCATCCTGTTTTCCACAACAATCGTAGATTCCATTTCATTCAGTGGGTTGTGATCTATTATTATCATTTATTTTACTGTTCAAATCGTCTCTAATTTGGCTAGTGGGAATCCCCAGGTCACTTTGACTTACCTCCAGCATTCTTCAAGTGTCTTGCTGGTTTTTTGGCACAATAAGATGTTCTAAGTCCATCTTGTGTTTTTCCACCCCCAATTCTGGAATCAGCCATTGTGCGCAGGAGTCCAGGTTTCTTTTGATGAAAGTTAAGATTTAGAAACCAGATCTGTGTGCTCGTTGTCTTCATTGCTTTTGTGGCATCTACTCCCAGGTCTTTCTGGTAAATAAGTCAGGGGCAAACTGCACTGTCGCACCAGTACTTCCATCTGTAACTTTTCCTTTACATTAGAGTATTAATATTTTATATATTCACACAGTCTCTGGCCATTTCTATTACAGTTTTTGCCATTTTTTTCTTTATTTTTTAAAGAGAAAAAATTAAAGGTGATACAAAATTTCACTAAACAAAATAATAGGAATTCAACAATGGTTGTTATATTGCATAATGTTGTCTTCAAATTATTTATATTACCGCATACAAACATGCAAAATTGGTTTTAAAAAGTTATAAGAAATTAAAAAGAAGAAGAAAAAAAAACCCCACTAACTGCCCCTTTCAATAGGCCAGCAGAAATCAGCAGTACAATTATCCAAGCTACCCTGTATATGTACATACATAAATATATCTTTTTTCTTCCTTCTTTCTGTCTTCTGTCCTTTTGCTCAGCCTAGTTGTTCCTTCCCTTTGAACAGATTCTTTTCCTTTCCCAGTATCTACTATACCTTTCTGATTTTATTTTCTTTTTCAGGTTCTTGCCCCAGTGAGATAATATGATGCTTGCACATGCGGGCCTGATTTACTTCACTTGTGAGTATGATTTCTAGTTGCATCCACTTTCCTATTTTAACTCTTAAATTAATGATGTCTTCCATTCCTCAAATGGGCTCTCAAACTCATTATTTTACATTTTATTCTGGTTTTCTTTATTATGTTTAGTTTTTTTATTTGGAGTTTATTATGAATATTTATTTCAAGCAGTTAGCCAATTTCCAATATATACCCTAATGTATCTCTTACTTACATTTTTATCTTTAAATAAATTCTAATACTAAGGAAGTCTAATAAGTTCATATGCTGGGGTTTCAGGGTTGTTTGTTTGCTTAGTCATGTTCTTCCTGTAGCTATACAGTTTTCATTATTATAGCGTGCTGCAATATTTTAATGACTATATGGGTAATTTCCTGACACCAGAAATCTTACACATCAAAGGACTGATGTTTTGCTGCTCCTTAAATATTGAAGAAACTATTTGGAATGCAAGGACTTTGTATTCCTTCTCAAATTTTATTACATGTACATTTAGTTCCTTTGCTTGCCCTGGATTCTTTTTTTTTTTTTTTTGGTGGCCTAAGGTTGCTTTCAGCGCAGGTCTGGTTCAGCTTCAGTATCTGGGTTTCGAACCACAGCACCCTTAGTTTGAATTTGTTAAGCAGGCACTTAAATAACTGAGCTAATGGGCAGGCCCCCAATGCCCTGGATTCTTGAGAGGGGAAAATACATGCCCTCTGCAGCACTGGCGGGACGGAGGTACACTGCTGGCTCTTTACTTGCTTGCTCACCCAGCATTTGCAGGGTTGTGTGTAACTAACAGTAAAGCCAAGTTTTTATCTTTCCAAACAAAGAAAAAAAGAAAACAAAAACTAAGTTACTCAGCTATAATGCTATTCAACAATTGCCTTCCCCCCTTCTTTTGTTTCCTAATTATTAGGTTCCAGTCGGGCAGAACAATTCATACTGCGAAGCAGAACAAGAGAACCACTGTAGATTATAGAAGAATAAGAAACCTAAATTAACCTAAGAATTAAAATGTGAAAATAAGGCATTAAAAATAGTTCTTCATTTTTGCATGGTAAAATCAGGAAATTTATTTCATCTATCCTAATCTGGTTATTAGTGCACTTCCTTATTTTTCCTGGTAATTAACATAATTATGCTGATTTGTTTTTATGTGGCTGTGTAGTACGCCTCAGTGAGGCAGCGAGGCAATCCTACACCTTTATTGCTATTGGTATTCCACAGGCAGGCCTGCCAGTGAGTCCTTAATTTCTTGCTCCACTGATTTACAAATGGTAAGTGTATAGCTGGGAATCAGCACAGTGGTAGACTCAGGGGGAGGGGGGGAAGCCCGTAATCTCTTAAATGGCCAACAGGCAAGTGTCCAGAAAACATTGTTATCTGAAACAGCATGGAAACAATGATATTGGAAGATAAGGAGTCGCAAAGCTAGATGAGAATGTGGGGTCATTTGTGCTTAAATGTTTCATATTGTTGTCAGAGGTGCAACTTTTATTATTTGGTCTGCAATGGTACCATGGCACAGGAAATACTAAGTGGCTGTTAGATACTATTCCATTAAGCATGACTGCACAGAGCCAGCCCTTAGTGTGAGACAGCCATATCAATATTTCAAACAGAAAGAGATGTTTCTGTCTTTATATAAAATTGTCACAATTTTATAGTATTTGGGGCTGTCATTTATATTCCCTATTTTTTTTTTTTTATAAAAGCCAAACTTCGGTAAGCCCTTATTCAGCAGTG